ATAGGGCCCAAACTCAAAGGCTAGGAAAGCTATAAGGAGCTCCCAAAATAGCCTAGCCCAGACACAGCCAGATATCGAAATTTATACAAAAGTTTCAAAAAACTTATGGTAAATGTTAATAGTTTGCACTTTTAGTATAGTTCTTTACTTTTACATTCTAGTTTGATTGGTAGTTTTCTTTTGTTAAGTGTAAGAATCCATTTCGTGTTAAAAGTAATTTATTTTTAATTAGAGTCCTTAAATTATTCATCACTATTTGATTCGATTATCATCAATATATCTTGGTAAATAATAGATTTCTCAAAGGGCAATTCATTTGATAGTATTACGTTGAAAATGTGATCGCCGAAATATGTGTTTGGTAGTATATGTCTTATGTTTAAGAAAAAACCGATAAATAACCGAAAAGACCAAAAAACCGACTTAATTGGTTTGGTTTGGTTCTAATATTTGAAAAACCGACTTACTTGGTTTGATTTCTTTTTAGGAAAAAAATGGTCCGAACCGAACCGTGAACACCCCGGTGTTACACCCCGTGTTTTCGTATGTGAGAGTACATCATAAGTCAATTAATGTGAGCTCAGAAAGGGAATCATCTTTTAAAAGTTTACAAAAATAGTTCATCATGTTAATATAGAGGTTATAAATATTTAAGATCATTAGTACCAAGTAGCAAGAGGGTTTGAAGGCTTAGAAGCTAAACGAATTGAAGAAAATAAGTTTCGTCGAAAGTCGACAAGTTGGAATATTTTACCATGTACTTTTGGGGTGATACTAGGGTTATTAACATTATAAGGAGATTATATTATGAGTTATTTTAGTCGTACGATAGTTGATGTTATGTTTTGAAGTCAAGCGAGTTGTGGAACAAAAGTTGGAAAAGGTCATCACAAATTCCATTTATAATATGCTGAAATTTAGGTCAAATGTAGATGCACTTTTCTCCAAATATACTTGGAATCAATGGATGATCTACATATCAAATTGAATATCTACGAGTCTAGTTTCCAACGCATTAAACCGTTTGTCGATACGATATTGGAGTAGAGAGATATTTGCATTGTCGTGAAACAGCGCAGACTGGTAGGTGACAAGTAGGTGCATCACCTACTTGCCAAAATGAGAGGACTTAATTAAAAGCCCCAAAGTCGGCCAAGAGGGGTCTTTTAAGGGAATACGAACTGAGTTATTTCACCTGTATTTCAGACCAAGAAAACCTAATTGAACCCCTGCAACTCCTCCCCCAAAATCCCACACAAACCCTAGGGTATTCCGGGTGTTACGACGCGATTCTAGTGCTGAAAAGTCCGGACAGCATGCTAGTTTCTCTTTCTCCTTCTTGTATCCGCGTTGAGGAACTTATTTTTGATGAAAAAGGACCAGGTTTCGTGGGTGATACTCAGTACAAGGTAAGTTTATGCTTCTCCTTCCATTATCTATGCGTTTGCGAGTTGTAACTCGATCGTAAAGAATAGACCTAGTTAGTTTCGGAAGAATGGTATGTTGTTTGATCTTGTGCAATGGTTGGCTGGTTGTGAACTTATTTTTAGGTTATATTCATGGCTGGTTTATTGGACAAGAGGTGTAATGATGTACTTTTGGTTGTATTTCTCAATTTGAAAGAAAAGATAAGTCGAAACGTGTTTAAGTAAACCGAAAAATTATGTTTGAGTTGATGAACTTGTGAGACTGTTTTTGGGCTGTTTCGTGTTGGTATTGGGTTGTCTCTTTTACTACTGTTTTTATGGAGTTGAGAGGAGGAAGGGTGTGGAGAAACACCACATAATGGCAAGGTTGTTTGTTGGTCGTTCGTCATAACATTTTCGGATTGTTTGACACTATTATGGTTGTCGTGTTGTGTATAAAGTGATAGGGGTATGTTGGGCTGTTTGTGATTGTTTTGACTAGTGTGAAGTCATATATATAGGGGGAGGTGCTGTCCGTTTTATTGTAAAATAGGTTGTGGTCGATACATAATAGTTACGACGCTTAAACGATAACGAGAGTGTCATTTCTCTTATTGTAGACTAAGGAGCCGTGAAATTGCATAGCTTGAGGTTGGGAAGAATATACAAGGTATGTTAAGGCTCTCCCTTCATTCTTTTGGCATGATCGATAGTGAAACGAACGTAAACGATACGCTATTTCATAATGAATCTACTCCTAGCAACTAAGGTTGTCCATGTTGTTCTTCCCTTACAAAGTTATTCCAAGAAAGTATGTATGATCCTTGAGTCCTAGTGAAGTTCATATTGATGGTATGATGTCCATGATGTTAATCGATGGTGCAATGACCTTATGTCACTCCAAAATGTTTAGAACGTGACTCCATGAGTCCAGCATGCATTATATATGTATCTATTTTACTCTACCGAGCCGCGCTATAGTCGGCCGGGTATGGCACCTATTGTGCAACCACTGATCAGTTGGGTTTACCGAGCTCCACGTGGCCGGGTACGTTTTTACCGAGTCCTCTTTGAGGCCGGGTATGATATGATGATGATGATGCCCACAGAGGCGTATGTTTTTAAAAGTTTATGTATATATATGTATGATGCATTTCATGTCAGTAGCCCCCAGAGGCACTCAGATGTTACAGGTTGTATCTCCTCTATCTCTCTTTACATTACTGTTCTTATTTATGTTTTCCTGCCTTACATACTCGGTACTTTATTCGTACTGACGTCCCTTTTGCCTGGGGACGCTGCGTTTCATGCCCGCAGGTCCCGATAGACAGGTTGACATTCCTCCTAGTAGGCTATCAGCTCAGCGAAGGTGTTGGTGTACTCCACTTGCTCCGGAGTTGCCTATTTTGTTAGTATGCTTTGGATATGTATTGATTGGTATGGCGGGGCCCTGTCCCGACCTTTATGATTTTATGTACTCTTAGAGGCTTGTAGACAGATGTCAGGTGTATGGATACTTGTATGGCCTTGTCGGCCTATGTTTTGAGTTTACAAATGGTCATGTCGGCCTTATAGGCCCGTATGTCACATGTATAAGTTTGTATATCATGCTGGGTCATCATACATTAAGTATTCCCTTATATTTTATTTTTGTTATCTCATGAAGGGTTTTCTAGCTCATTTACCCCTGATAGTATGATAAGAAAGATATGTTACGTTGGTACTCGGTTGAGTAAGGCACCGGGTGTCCGTCGCGGCCCTTCGGTTTCGTGACACCCGGGTCACATATATATACCCCAATATATAGTAATATAGGGAGAAATTCAAAAATAGTCAGATTTACAAGTGGTTGTTCAAAAATGGCCCAGTTTCAAAAGTAATCGAAATTTAGCCACTTTTCATGTAAAGATAAATCTGAGCGAAAACACTGTTCAAAGCCCAGAAATTACGCCAGTATATTATGCTGGAGTTCCAGCATAGGTATACTTGAACTCCAACATATTATAGTGGAGTTCCAGCAAAGTATACTGGTCCAGTATAATATGCTGGAAGTTCATATACAAGTGCTCGAATCTCCAGTATATTATGCTAGAACTTTCCGTGTGTTGGAGTTCCAGCATAATATGCTGGAAGTTCATACACAGGTGCACCGAGCTCCAGTATATTATGCTGGACCGGTCTTTGTTGCAGCAAAATATTGGCTATTTTTCATTGACTTGGTAAATGCTGGCTATTTTTAAATGAGCAGTCCAAAAACTGGCTAGACCGTGCTATTTTTACAGTAATATACTCAAATTTTTAGATGGGTTACACAGGGCTGTACTCAAATTGACCCGTTATTTGGACCGAGTTGGACGGTTCAAAAGTTATATTTTTATCATTTCATGAGCTGAATTTGACATCAATTGTGGGGAAAAAATTGATTTTCTCAAGATTAATAATATACGGTATGAAACTAAATGCTCTTCTCATCCTCATTCTAGGCAAAGGAAAAAGGAAAGCAGTAGCGATATTATGGATAATCATTTTGTTTCCAACAAGCTTAAACAAATGACGGTAATGAAATCATAAGCGTTTAGCTAAAAGCAAGATGTATGTTGGTGCAGATGATTAAAATTTAGTGACGATAATTAGCACAAACAGGAATTTGTCCCCCTTTTCTCATTTAACTTAGACAATCAATTTTTTTTTTTAAAAAAATGATTGTTGAAATAGCAGTGAAGAATGCGTTTTTGGATTAATATCTAAAAGTATTCCCTTCACAACAAAACATATTTGCAGAAACTAATGAGCTCCAAATTGGGACTTGGTAGCCTGGTCTCTTACTCTTTTTTTTTTTTTTGGGGGGGTCGAAAGTCTCTTTCTATATATTAACTGAGATCGAAACAGATACAAGGGAGGTATTTAACATACTAAAAAGGCAGCGCGATGCACGAAGCATTCCTCGTTTACGCAGCGTTTGGAGAAAGATTGGACCCCAAGTGGCTGTAATACAGGAAACCTACGCTGAATTCCACGGCTCGAACACATGACCTATAAGTCATAGGAAGATAACTCACTAAAATGAACATTATGCAAATTTCATTGATGATGTTAACTTTGAATAAGTTGGGGATAAAAACTGTATATTACATCTAAATAGAAGCTAACAAGTCATGGATGACTAGCCAAATATAGAAGCAAGCTGAATGTATCTAGCCAAGGTGGTGGACCTTGTACTTTTTGTTCTTTTCCATCCTTTATTGGACTTATTCTAATGTTGCATTATGCCTTGTCAATCACTTGTAACATTATGCTCCTAGATTTATTTATTTATTTTTTTGCAGAATTTGCAATTGCTCCATTATCAACTCAAGTTTGGTCTCTTAAAAAATAAATTTTTCATATCAGCTTGTTTTTTATTAATCAAATGTTCAAAAAAGTATAAAATTTCTTGATCAGGGAGATGCCAATAAAGTTTCTTTGGAGGCACTTAATTAGACATTTGAAAACAACTATACGTGCATAAAATGTTGAAAAGAAAAAATTTAAACCTTGTGGGGTTGGCCTAGAGGACCAAAACAAAAAATCACAGTATCACACACTTGAAATATACAGTCATAGGAATTTGTAAAAAGAAAATCTTTTAGAAAATTTCTGTCGACCGACTCATGCACACAAAGTCCGACAACCCCACCAACCTCTAAGACCCGCCTTTGTTTTCTCCTTTCCCTGTTTCAAACTTTCTAAGCTAATTCATAATGCAAATATAATAAATATATACACAGATTTGTTCTACATACCTACTTACTTTAAAGTTTAAAATATTTTTTAATTATATGTACATAAATAGTTTGAATTCAAATTGTACATGTAATGATGTACTAACTATTTAGTACTCCATATGTTTGATCAACTTTGAGCTTCATGTGAGTACAAACTGCAAATTGGAATAAAGTTTTCTTGTTAAGAAAAATGAAGATTAAAGACGGGACTTACAAGTCAAATTCTGCTAGTTCAGTTGAGTATCTGTTGACTACTGATCGTCAGAAGTTGCACCATCGCCGGCAGAAAACAAGAACTCCGGTGGCCGGAGGTCGGAGGAGGGTAAACGGTGGAAGTGGGTCACCCAATCGATTCGTGCTAAGCAAGTTTAAGGAAAAAGATGAGGCAGGGGTGGGCGTCTCTGCTAGGAAGCTCGCCGCTGGCCTGTGGCATTTGGCGGCGGAGTTCACCGCTGGTGGCGGTGGCGTGAAGCGGCAGTGTGGTTTGATTCATCCGGTAGGTTTTTGGTGTGTTGGAATTATGCGTTATGTTGTTGTTTCCGATAAAGTTTTTCATTTTATTTTCTCAGTTTTGTAAACTTTTGTTTCTTTTTGCTACTTAATTGGTTTAGGAATTTGATTAAATAGCTTAGCAAAAAGTAAATGAAACTTACATGTCCTCTGCTCTCTAGATGACATGTTAGATTGTGTATGGTTTTTAAAATTAGTCCTTACACAAAAAATCGGAGAATCAGTATCTATTTTTTCAGGCGGAGAGAGTATAATTATGTTCATGAGTGATGAATTAGTTTTTGAGGGGAGCCTTGGCGTGACGGTTAAAGTTGCTCTCGTGACTAGGAGATCACGGGTTCGAGTGGTGGAAAAAGTCTCTCCCAGAAATTAAGACTGCGTACAATAGACCCTTGTGGTCCGGCCCTCCCTCGGACCCCGCTGATAGCGGGAGCTTAGTGCACCGAGCTGCAGCTGCCCTTTAGTGATGAATTATTTCTGGATTTTACTGTTGGATGATGGATTAGGTTCCTCTTTAGTCTGCATTCTCTGCATCTATCATCCACAAACCTTTTCAATGCTTTATTTATGACAAAAAAGCTCCATACTTGTTGATTAAAGAGAAAGTGACTATAAATTTTCAAGTCAAAAATAGATGCAAGTTGTATCTATTTTGACTCATTCCCAATTCAATTCAATGGTTCAAATAGTTTTTGCTCATTTCCATCATGGTCAGCTTGCTTGCCTGATGCAATTTCACAAGAGAGACATGTTTTAGTGTACTGATCTGGTAATTACGTTAATCTGAGGGAGCTGAGGAGTCTAATTGTGGTTATAAACTTGTTACCCTTAAAATCGGATAACAATTAAACTTATAAGTGGTTTTAAGGATAAGTAATTTCACCTAGTACCAGTAGATAAATATGATGATTAATAATAGAAATAAACAACAAAGTATAGCAAATCAGTATTGAAATGCTATTCAGGCCTCGAGCTAGGTCGCCCTCGAACTGAGTGAGTGAGAGTGAAGTTATGAAATAAACTGATGAATAAGAGAGTATGAGAGTAAGATGGTTACAGAATGATTAGACCCCTCTTTATATAGTAGATGAATCCTATTTATGGTACAATTCTAATTACAGAAATAAATCCCATGATGGGCTAAATAATCGTTCTTGATTTGATCCGTTCTGAGATTTCCGCCATGATCCTTGGGCAGTCACGGATATCTCGCCTTTCCGTTATTATGCTATCTTCGGTCTTGCTCGATGCCTATCATGTTTGGCCTCGATCATCACCGGTCTCGACCTTGATAGGTACTTCGAATCCCGAACTCGGTGTCTTATCCTCATACCTCGATCTGATATACTACGGGACCGATCCTTGATCTATCCCCCTCGTCCCGATTAATCAGTGAAATCGGGTGGACCCGATTTTTACCGTATACAAAACTAAAGTGCGTAACTTTAAAGTGGAACATGAGGGAAGGTAAGAGATTTTAACCAGTATGATGTAATAAAAAAACCTCAAGCTTTGTAACAATATTATAATGGATGTAGATAGCCACCTACAAAACAATGAAATATTTGTTTCCTTAATCTCGCAAGGAAGCCAAAACTGAAATACAAACATCTAATATGGTCTACCACCTTTCTTGACGTATATATTGTTTGTAGCAGCTGCACACGCCCAGAATGACCGTATATTTTGTTTAGTCATGCTGCAGTTCATTGCACAAATTTTTCTGTAACACGGATATGGTTTAACTTGCCTGCTTTATCCTTCTTTTCATTTTCATTGTATACATCGTTCCATCACTTTGATTCCTGCTTTTAGTTTGATCGCTGTTTCTTTTTCTCTTCTATTTCAATCTACTAGATATGCAACTGGAAGTTTCATTTTAATTAATATCCAGACTTCCTGACCAATTTCATGATTGCTTTCATTATCGCTAGCTCCACTCTTGGACACCAATCACTAGATCCGCAACGGAGAGAGCTACAAAGTGGGATCCTGGCCACTTAAAAATGTCCAGAGAAGTTAAACATTCCAATGGCCTTGTAAAGCTTTATAAAAGTCAACATACTGCTACTACCTCAGTTGCTTCTGCCTTACATGTTGAACTAATAAGAGCGCGGAATTGCATTCAAGAGCTAGAAGCTAAGAGGGGGCGCCTTAAAAAGAAATACAAACACTTAGTGAGGAAGCTGGAAGAAGAAAGAATCTCATGGATGAGAAGAGAACAGCGGAAGATGCATTCAGTAATTGATGGCTTAAAAGATGATTTAAGAAGAGAAAGAAGTAATTGTAAACGACTGGATTTTGTTAATTCCAAAATGCTGGTTGATGTAGCTGATTTAAAGGTATCGTCCAGACAATATATGCACGATTATGAGAAAGAAAGAAAATCAAGAGAATTACTGGAGGATGTGTGCAACGAGCTAGTCAAGGAGATTGAAGAAGACAAAACTGAAATTGAAGCTTTGAAGAGCGAAAATGCCAGGCTTGGCGAGGAAGTGGAAGAAGAAAGAAAAATGCTGCAATTGGCTGAGGTTTGGCGTGAAGAACGGGTTCAAATGAAGCTGATGGATGCGAAACTACTTTTAGAAGAAAAATATAGCCTGATGAGTAATCTTATATCAGAACTTCAGAGCTTTTTGAGATCTAACAATGTAACTGTGGATGTGACTAGCTTAAGTGAAACACAGGTGGTCAAGGAGGTTGTTGACTCATTGAACATCCAAGAAATAAATGAGTTCTCTTCTGGCTCTCCAATATCAAGTGACATATATACAACTAAAGAGGATACTATTATCGTTGAAGCTAAAAAATTGGGAACTAATCAGTGCACTGATTATAGCATTCCTAGCCATTCCTCTACAGTCCATATTGTTGGTACTGAGAGTAAAAGATGTGATACAAACCACAGCAGTGAGTGTTTGAATGGCTTTCTTGATCAAGGCGAGAGTTGCAAAGATGCAAGTGGGAGGAGTACAGTGACCCACGTCGAAGATCAGTTTTCAAACTACACTTTTGGTGAAACTGAGCATTCTGTGAATGGTATTGACGGAGGCAGATATATTTTTAGTGGCAAAGTGAATCATGAGAAAAACACCGGTCAATCGAGTTCTATGGATTTTGAGACCAGTGAAATCTCCTCGGTACCTCCAAAGCAATCAAAGAAGAAAGGATCCTCTTTTCGCAAATTTTGGAGATCCTCACTGTCAAATGATGAGTACTGCAAGACAATCTCATTTGATGAGATTGGAAGACTTCCAAATGGAGCAGCATCTAATGTGGATGTTATTTCTTCAGAGACTGTACCAGCTGAAAGGCCATTAGCATACCAAGATATTGAGAATCATTGCTGCTCTGATGGCCCAAGAAATCTGCACATTGTTCAAGCCATGAAAGGTTGTATTGAATGGCCAAGGGGAATCCCAAAGTATGGTTTGAAGTCCAAGCTTTTGGAAGCAAGATTTGAAAGCCAAAAATCGTAATTGTGCAATGTACTTAACGCATGAATTAGGCGGAGGATGGCTTCAGTTTGCTGCTTACTGAGGTAATTATACAAATTTCAGGAATATCATGAACTAATAGTTTCACATGGGGCATTAGAGCGCAGCTTTAACAGTTTTATTTCTTCTTAGCTGCCTCTTAAGGATTTCGATGTGGTTCATTTTTTCAATGAACTTCCAGATATCATCAAATTGTATCCTCCCCAAAGTTATATGTTACTTTCATCTTGTATATGCCATCTTCTGTTACGTTATATATATATATATATATATATATATATATATATATATATATATATATATATATATATATATGTATGTATATATATATATATATATATATATATAATCCTATCATTAACGAACCAACTAGCTTAATTGTATAGTTTGTACGTAAAAGTCAAAATAAAACCAGAGTCATTCATATCTATGCGACTATGCATGCTTCTTGGAGGTTAAACTTTTTCTTTCTCGAGATCTTTCTCCTACCCTTCCTTAGACTAACATTTTATTAATGCCTTTAATAATGGTTGTTACTTTCTTAAAAGAACTCATTTACAATTGGGAGTTCACTAATGGAAGTGATGGTTTCTTCGTTGAAGATTTAATCACTTAATTTTAAGTATATTGATTGACCTCATCAAAGGAAAATGGGAAATCTCAGAATTATGAGGTGAAGTCATGCACCATGGATTTTGTCCCTACAAATGAATTAGGGGTGGGGGCACAAAAGATATCCATGCTTTAATATAGCAGCAGAATGATGTGTGGCTGGAGGTGATTGTCTTTACTTTTCCTTGGCTTTTGTTTGTATCATTCTGGGGGACATCTATGACCCAAACTTTTTCACAATCTAGTTCCCCAGGTATTGGCCATTTCTTCAGTTTTCAGGAAACAACCTCTCTGCCTTCTTGAACTTAAGGGTAAGGTCTGCGTACATACTATCCTCGCCAAAGCCCACTTATAGAATTGTACTGGGTCTGTTGTTGTTGTTGCTGTTTTGTTGATACCATTTAGTCCTGAGCTGAATGTCATTACCACCATGTAACCTATCATGGAATTGCTGAGTCAGTTAATATTTCTTTATAGCAACTAGATGACCTTCCCTATGTTCGCAGGTGACTGGGCTCCAGTCACAGGCTCACAGCAGATCCAAAATTTTAAGTAAGTGAATACATAGTACTACTGCAACATTATTTTTTTGTGACAATATGTTTATTCTTAGTAATTTCAGATAAATGTGTTTCTAGAAATATTTTAACTGTATCTACATGTAGTTGTTCGAGGCAAAAATAATGAGCGAGTTCGCATCCACAAACCTGTAAACCATGGCAAATCAGTTAGCATTAAGTTGGTCTAATCTTTTTCTTATATGTTAAGGTATCAAAATACATTGTACCAATATTATACCAGGTTAGAAGGTTCCACACAAGCTTCCGTTCTGTGGCGTTTTGTACAACTTTGTTCAGATTAATAGTGAGACGGAGAATAATGAGTTTTGATGCCTTCAATAGGATCTTTCATTGTCACCAATACAAAAAAACAACTTATGGAATTTAAATGAGTGTTTTCAATAGGATCTGCCACAGATAGATTGTTGGAATTGTATGACTATTTTCAAAAAAGAGATTTTTGCCTCAGCCAATCCCAGAATGTAGGTCTTTTTCCGTTGTCCATAAAGTTTTCTATTTAGGCTGGCTATGGTTCCCCAGTTTGCTTTAGTCTTTCATCCTCCAGACTCCACAAACAACAAATTCCCATGAAATAAACATAGGCAAATGAAAGTAGGAGACATAACATGTTGAGCTGTCTGATGAGAAGTCACACTTGGGCCCAAAACAAGAACATAAGAATTAAGTGGCCCAACACAACTTATTTATTTTATGGCCAGATGTAATTGTGTAATTGTCTTGTAAAGTGTATAGTTAGCTAATTTTGTAAATGAGAACACTGAAGTATAAATAGAAGTAGAGGCAAAAAGTTCAATTGGCTCGATTCATTTTATTTCTCTCTTTCTCGTTTTTCTCTCTGAACGAACATTCTAGATTTCCAAAAATCCATTAACGATTTCTTCAAATCAAGCTCTTCCATGAATGTTAACATGGTATCAGAGCAGAGAATGCTCATCTCCTCTTCGTCTTTTATCGAGCGATACTAGCCGTGTTCATTTACATCAAGTTTTCGGAGTTCGACCAAAATCTGCAATTTAGGTCTCTTTGGTGAGAATTGTTGGCACGTAATTTTCTGTTGTTTCTGGATCATTCACTGATGGAACTGAAGGTATTCTGTGATTTGAGGCGTTTATTTGTCAAAGAATTCGAAGATCCAGTGTGCATGTATCAGATCTAGGGTTTCTCCTGGACCTAGGGTTTTGGTTTTCCTTTCTGTCAGCTGATTTTGAGAATTTGATTAGCCATTGCCTTCTCAAGGCCTTTACTTCTTCAGGTTGCGAAGAAGTTCGGCATCTTTCCTATCTCGCTATTTTCAATTTGAGTACAGTAAATCTGTGATTTTGTGTGATTTTTATTATTTGATATGGGTAGTTCTGAACCTAGTGCATCTACTTCTGTGTGTACCTCCATTGATCCTTCTTCTCCCCTGTTCCTTTCATCTTCCGATGTTCCTCGTATTTCCCTCACTATACCATTCTCGGGGGTTGCATTTGGAGGATGGAAACGTAATATGATAGTATCCTTGCCTGCTAGAAAAAAAATAGGGTTCATTAGTGGGTCATGTATCAAACCTCCTGAAGATTCTCCTCAATATAGGCAATGGGATCGTTGTAATAATATGGTCATTTCATGGCTAACTTCCTCCTTGTCACTAACACTACTGATAGTGTACAGTATTCAGACGCTGCTGAAAGTATATGGAAACAACTTAATATTAGATATGGGGTTGTAAATGGGACCAAAGTATTCGAATTAAAAAGACAACTTGCCTCCACTTACCAAGAATCCCTTGATATTTCCTCTTATTTCAATAAGCTCAAAAAGGTCTGAGATGAACAAGGAGTTATGTGCACCACTCATGCAAATTCATGCGTTTGTGCTGCAAAAGAGGGGCTTCAAAGGGAAAAAGAGGAGGACAAAGTCCATCAATTTCTCATGGGTCTGAATGAGGTGTATGTAGGGGTTAGGAGGAATTTGTTGATGATGCAACCCCTGCCCTCTCTTGACAGTATCTATAATATTCTTCTCCAAGATGAAAAGCAGAGACAAGTGAATCCAAATCCTTCTTTTCAAGCTGAGTCAGCCTCCTTCAATGGGAATTCCTCTTTCAATAAATCCATTAAACCTCACTTTCAGCAAAAGCAATTAAATCCTCAAACCTAACAAAAACAGTTTCATCAAAGGGTGAACTTTGATCAGTCTAGAAATGTTGTTTTCTGCAAGTATTGCAAGAAACCTGGGCATATGGTTGAAAATTGTTACAAACTTAATGGGTTTCTTCCCAATTTCAAGTTCACCAAAGGAAGAAAGGGAGCAGCTAACATGGTTGAAAATCCGGATCCTCCTCATTCTAAATGTGTTCCTGCTGCTCAGCCCACACAGCCTTGTGTTAATCAACATGATCAAGGATCTGGGGTGTCTGGTCTGACCAAGCAGCAATATGATCAACTCATTTCTTTACTTCAGCAAGCTCATATCTCTGATTCTGGATCTCCACTCAACATCATGGCTTCTGCCAATTTTGCTGGTACATACTTGCCTAAAAATGTAGCATATAGTTTTAATTCTGCCTTGCTGACTCAATCTGATTCCTTAACTTGGATAGTTGATTCTGGTGCCTCTGACCATATGACATCAAATAAAGAGTTCCTTATTAATATCACACCACTACCAATTCCCTTTCTAGTTTCCCGTCCAAATGGTTACAAGGTCAAAGTTACCTGTACAGGGTCTTTTGTACTAACTGATTCTATTGTCTTACAGAATGTACTATATCTTCCTTCTTTCAAACATAACCTAATTTCTGTGCACATACTTACTGAACAATTTGATTGTATAGTTCAGTTTACCAGAATTTCATGTATTCTACAGGGCCCTTCTCTAAAGAAGCCTCTCGATCTTGGTAAACTGGACAGTGGTTTATACAAGTTCATTTGGGAAAAACCTTCTCAGTCCCAGAGTATACTGCCTTCTGCTTACAGTAGTAGCTCATCACCTTTGTACACTTCTAGTTCTCCTCTCTCTCTTGTACAAACTGTTTCTTCCACATGTAATAAAGCTACTATAAATGACATGGATTGTGTGTGGCATAACAGACTCGCGCATGTTCCTTTTGCTAAAATGAAATGTATTTCTGAAATTTCACCTGTTATATCATCTGTTCAATCTTTCCCTTGTGATTTTTGTCCTATGCCAAGGCGGACTAGACTGCCATTTCTTGATAGTTCCATTCATACTTCTAAACCTTTCCAATTGATTCATGTTGATACTTGGGGACCTTATCATACTCCCACCTATTCTGGTTCTAGGTATTTTCTCACAATTGTTGATGATTTCTCTAGGAGTACTTGGACTCATCTGATGGGATCCAAGAGTAATGCCTTTTCTCTTTTGAAGGCATTTGTTGCAATGGTTAAGACTCAATTTCATGAAACTGTACAAAACATAAGATCTGATAATGCACTTGAACTAGGATCTAGTCATGTTGCCATTTCCTTTTTCTCAGAAAATGGTATTACTCATCAAACTACTTGTCCACACACACCCTAACAAAATGGTGTGGTAGAAAGAAATCATAGAACCCTTCTTGAAGCATCTGGAGCCCTACTTTTTTAATCTAAACTTCCTATTCAGTTCTAGGGTGACTGCCTTTTAACAGCAACATATCTCATTAATAGACTCCCTTCCAGATTACTATACAATAAATCACCCTATGATCCTCTATAATAAAACTCCACATTATTGACATCTAAGAGCTTTTAGTTGTCTTTGTTATGCAACTGTGCCAATACCTCAAAGGGACAAACTTAAACCTAGGGCATTACCTTGTGTATTTCTTGGTTATCCTTTTGCCAAGAAAGGCTACAAATTATACAATTTACAATCCAAACAGTGTTTTGTATCAAGGGATGTCACTTTTCATGAGAACTTGTTCCCATTTGCCCCTGATTTTTCTTTCCCTACTTTTGTTCCTCACCAAGTCCCCATCAGTACTCCTGTTGTGGATGATGACTTCACACAAGGTTCCTTTCCATCTGTTGTTTCTCCTGCTCCTTTTCCTTACTCTTCTGTTGCTTCTCCTGCTTCTCTTACTACTTCTGCTTCTCCTGATTCTCCTACTATTGCTGCTGCTCCTCTCCCTACCTCTCCTATACATTTCAATCCTGATGTTCTGCCCTCTAATCCTGCCATCTCCACTTCACCTATACCCAACATTAGAAAGTCTACTAGGGTTCATAATTTTCCTACTCATTTAAAAGATTATGTTCTACAGTTTCCTACTTCTTCTTCTTCTTCTTCATGTTCCAATGTTCAGCAGGTAGAATTTGAACCATATCACTACTCTCAGGCTGCATCTGTTCCAGCATGGCAAGATACCATGAGGAAAGAGTTTGAGGCCCTACAGGAAACTCATACCTGGGACATTGTGGAACTACCTCCGGGTAAGAAACCCATAGGTTGCAAGTGGGTGTATAAAATAAAGTATAGGGCTGATGGTAGTGTTGAAAGATATAAAGCTAGATTGGGTAATCAGGGGTGATTGTTACGACCCAAAAACCGATTCGGTCATGATGGCGCCTATCGTGATACTAGGCCATCCAACTATTACCCATTCACTCCGTTATCCAATTAAAGACTTAAGAAAAATCATATTTTAAACAGAAATCCAATAAGATAAAAATAGAAATCAAATCCAGCGGAAAGAAATACATGCCCGACCTCGGGTATCACTAAGTCATGAGCAAAATACTACAACTGTTTGAAATAAATAAGACTACATGGTCTGAGAATGTCTAAATAAAAGTACTACAAGGAAGATAAGGAAGGAGAAGGCGGAACTGCGGTCGCCAAGCAGCTACCTCGCAATCTCCACAGAAAGTTTCCAACTGGTAAGATCAGCAACCGCTACCGTGCCCCGAGATACTTGGATTTGCACACAGGGTGCAGGGGGTAACGTGAGTACTCCAACTCAGTAAATAACAAGTCCAACCTATGGACTGACAGGTAGTGACGGACCAAACCTTAACAGGTAATAACATATAACTGAACAGGAAAATAGACATGCTTACAGTTCAAGTAATACTCGACAGTATTTAAATGCAACTGAACAGTACGAAGTTCAAAACTCAGAGATTTTTTATATACCAATTCACAACTAGCACAATCTATGTTCTATGAACCTCCACTCACAAGTGCTCAACCACTCGGTATTGTATATGGCCATCCGGCTCAGGGAAGATCCATTCCGGAATATATATCACTGGCTGTAGTCATCCAGTACCGAGGACACAGGCCAATCCAGCCTCACGGAGAAAATCCATCTCCCGGTATAATACTTCGGACAAGATCCATGTCCAGGGAAGATCCATCCCTCAATATCATCCACTACGCTCACTGGGGTGTAAAGACTCCGGAGGGGTTTCTCTCATTAGCCCAAGCGCTATAACAAAGCCAACGAAGGCTTGTTCAATATCTCGCTGTGGCGTGCAGCCCGATCCCATACTGCCGCTCAATATCAGGCTCTCGACCTCACTCAGTCATCACTCACCAATCTCACACACACGGGCTCAAAATGTCATGATACTAGCCCGGACAATAATATGATGTGTCAAATAGCAATAACCGAGACTGAGACATGATATAATATGCATGAATAGGATTGAGTACAGAATATCAACAAAACAAATGATATGATAGCAAGAAACGACCTTTTGGGTCTCAATAATATTGGCGTGAAGCCTTAACATGATAGCCAGCATGATTCACAGCTCATCAACTAAATCACATAATTACAACACAGATATCGGTAAGAAAGAACCACTAAGCAGTGCTCTGGAATGATCCAGGCCGCGTTTCTCACGGTGCACGCCCACACGCCCGTCACTTGGTATTGAGTCACCTTTATAATAATCATAGAACACATAGTTCGGGGTTTCGAATCCTCATAACCAATATTGGAAGCGTTACTTACCTCAAGCCGAGCCAAACCCTAGCCCGTGACGTCCTTTCCTCTCGATTCGGCCTCCAAATGCCTCGAATCTAACCAAAATCAGTTTATAACCATCAATATACGCTAAAGGAGTGAAACCCATACGAAATTAATCAAATTACATCACAATTCCCGAAATTGATCAAACCCGGTCCCCGGGCCCATGTCTCGAATTCCGATAAAAATCACAAAACTAGAATCCTTACACTCTCACGAATTTATACACACCAAGAATACCAAAATCCGACCACCAATGACCCCTCAAATCCCTAGATTAAGGTCTCCAATTTCCAAGCCCTAACTCCCCAATTTTAGGTTTCAAATCCCCCAAATTTCATGTTTAATTAGGTAGAAATCACAATAGGATCGAGTATTAAGTCCATAAATCTAACCTCCAAGAAGTACTCTTGAATTCCCTCTTCAATATCCCTCAAGAAGCTCCAAAACCGACTCAAAAATGGTGAACTATGGCCAAAAATCGCGAAAATGGCCTTTTAAACATTCTGCCCAGCGATTTAAATTCCTTCTTTCGCGAACGGAGTCAAAGCCTCGCGTTCGCGAAGCACAAAATCCGTTGACCACTTAATCCTTCTTCGCGAATGCGACCTCCTGATCGCGAACGCGAAGCTTCAGCTCCTCACACCATCCCGAACGCGACCTCTAGCTCGCGAACGCGAAGCACAAATGAACATGGACCCCAGCTGCTCCCATTTACTCTACGCGAACGCGGGAACCTCATCGCGTTCGCGATGCACACTGAAACTCACCCTTCGCGAACGCGGGACCCACATCGCGAACGCGAAGTCCAAACTTCCTACCTCACACCACATCCCTTCGCGAACGCGAACGCCAAAAGTCTGCAACACCAACAGCAGAAAATCTGCAATCCGTTTAACCACTCGAAACTCACCCGAGGCCCTCGGGACCTCAACCAAACATGCCAACATATCCCATAACATCATCCAAACTTGTTCCAATCTTTGGAACACTCAAAACAACACCAAAACACCAAATCATCATCGGATTCAAGCCTAAGAAATTCCAAAACTTCCAAATTCTGCTTTCGATCAAAAAGTCTATCAGACCTCGTTTGAATGACCTGAAAATTTGCACACACGTCACACATGATACAATGGACCTACTCCAACTTCCGGAATTCCATTCCGACCCCTATATCAAAATCTCCCCTATCAACCGGAAAACACCAAAATTTCAATTTCACCAATTCAAGACTAAATCTACTCCGGACCTCCAAAACACATTCTGATCACGCTCCTACGTCCCAAATCACCTCCCGAAGCTATCCGAATCATAAAATTCCGAGATCGTTTGCTCACAAGTTAACTTCCGATTGACTTTTCCAACTAATGACCAACTTAAGAGACTAAGTGTCTCAAACCTTCCCAAAACCATTCCGGATTCGAACCGACTAACCCGATGCCATATAACACAGATGAATAAAGCATAAAAAAGTAGAAATGGGGAAAATGGGGCGGTAACTCATGAAACGACCGGCCGGGTCGTTGCAGTGATACACAGATAGAAGGTGTGGATTTTAATGAAACCTTTTCTCCGGTTGTTAAAATGTCTACTGTTAAGTGTCTTATTGTTGTAGCTGTCAAAAGACATTGGCCTTTATTTCAACTTGATGTTAATAAGGCATTTTTGCATGGTGATCTAGATGAGGATGTTTATATGAAGCTGCCTCCTGCCCTTACTGTTTCTTCTTCTTCATCTGCTTCTTCTTCCTCTTTGGTTTGTAAGCTCAATAAATCACTCTATGGGTTAAGACAAGCTTCTAGGCAATGGTATGCCAAGCTGTCTCAAGCTCTCTATTCCAAAGGTTACTTTCATTCCATGAATGATTATTCATTATTCATGAAAGGCAGTCCTGGTAATCTAGTGGTGTTAGCAGTCTATGTGGATGAGATAATCCTCACAAGTGATGCGTTGGATGAGATACATACTTTAAAGCAATTCTTAGATAGTGAGTCCAAAATAAAAGATTTAGGGTCTCTCCACTATTTCCTGGGTATTGAAGTCACTTCTCATTCTTCTGGTGTTCTATTGAATCAAAAGAAGTTTGTTCATGATTTGTTGAAAGAATACAACTGTTTAGATGTTGCTCCTGTTATCTCTCCATTAGAGCTGAATCACAAACTACATGTCAATGTTGGAGACTTGCTGCCTCAACCTGATAAGTTCAGAAGCCTTGTTGGGAAATTGTTATTTTTAACCCATACTAGGCCAGACATCTGCTTTGGAGTACAACATCTCAGTCAGTTTTTAAAGGCTCCCAGAGTTCCTCATATGCATGCTGCTCTTCACATGTTGAGGTATCTCAAAGGTACCCTTGATCTTGGTTTGTTCTACTCTAGTTCCCGTAATTTCTCTGTCCAGGCTTACTCTGACAATGATTGGGCTGCTTGCCCTGACACACGTAGATCAGTCACTGGTTTTTGCATATTTTTGGGGGACAGCCTTATTGGTTGGAAATCAAAGAAACAGCTAGTGGTTTCATTGTCATCAGCTGAGGCTGAATATCGCGCTTTGAGGAAAGTAGTCGTTGAGTTGACTTGGCTGTCCAGGTTGCTTCATGATATATCTATGCCTATTGTTTCTCCTATTTCTGTATTTTGTGATAATGCAACTGCTATTCATATAGCCAAGAACCTAGTCTTCCATGAGCGCACTAAGCATATCGAGGTGGATTGTCATTTCATTCGCACCAAGTTGTATGAAGGCTTAATTTAATTGTTTCATGTCTCTACTTCCAACCAGCTTGCTGACATTCTCACCAAGCCATTGTCTGGTGTTCTTCATCACTCTTTCTTTTCCAAGTTGCAGGTGTTATCCCCCTCCAACTTGAAGGGGGGTGTTAGGCTGTCTGATGAAAGTCACACTTGGGCCCAAAACAAGAGCATAAGAATTAAGTAGCCCAACACAACTTATTTATTTTAGGAAATTTTACCTCCTATAGCAAAGGTTAACACCTTATTTATTTTAAATAAATACCATTTAAAAAAGTTATATTCCGTAGATACCTTTTAAGTTTTATAGCAAAATATTTAATTTTGGTTACCTCCTAGTCCTAAGCCACTAAATACGCTAATCAGTTACACTATTTTCTTTCTCTCTCTACTTTGATACATCACATTCTTTTCCCCCATCCCATTAAAATTTCTTAGTATAAATAAAATCCCATACTTCGTCTCTCACGCTTTGTTCCCTAACATACCAGATCCCCTGCCACCATTAACGCTTAAATTGACCCACCTCCGCCGTCGACCACCACGGATTCCCTCTTGGACCTGCCACATCTTCCCACTTCCACCACCAAGGTCCGCCTTTATGCAGCTACAGTGGGCATATAGTTTCAGATCTTTCACATTTCAATTTGACTGATCTAACTGTTAAGCAAGAAGAAGAACACGGCCTTGAAAACAGGCAATTCTCAGTTGCATCAGTTCCTCATGAACTCGTCAGTTTAGTGGATTTTCATGTATTTCATTGTATTTTGAATGTATCACGCTGTATTTTCATGTATTCATTGTCGTTTTTTTCATTGTAATTCAATGTATCTCGTTGTATTCCATGTATTTCATTGTATTCACTGTCTTTTTTTTCATCGTATTTCGATGTATCCCGCTGTATTATATGTATTTTATTATATTCACTGTCTCGCTATAGGCCATGAATGTATTCATATGTTTTTTTTAATTAATATAATTTATGTATTAAGATGTATTATATAATTTCTCTGAAGATTGCTATGTTTTTGGGATATTTTTCGGTTGAGAATCTTTTTTATAACTGAAAATACAAAATTTGTATGTTATAATTGAGTTTGTTGAGTTATATTAGGAGTCTATTATGTTAATTGATTCACTTTCCGTTTTAAAACAGTGTAATCCCCTATTTCACGCCGTGAATACAGTCAAATACAATAATCTGTCCGCTGTAATCCCATGTTTCACTCCATGAATACAGTCGAATACACTCGAATACAATAATTGATTAGCTGGACTTCCCTGATTCACGCCTATTTTTGCTACTGTATTCATGAATACAATAGCTTAAATACATCAAATACATCTTATAACCACACAAAAGGTATCTATAATTCGTAATATAGCAAATGGTATCTATAGATGGCTAATTACTACCAAAAGATAGTGCTTTACGAAAATTTCTCTTTATTCTATGGCCAGATGTAATTGTGTAATTGTCTTGTAAAGTGTATAGTTAGCTAATTTTGTAAATGAGAACATTGAAGTATAAATAGAAGTAGAGGCTAAAAGTTCAATTGGCTCGATTCATTTTATTTCTCTCTTTCTCGTTTTTCTCTCTGAACGAACATTCTAGATTTTCAAACCCCCATTAACGATTTCTTCAATCGAGCTCTTCCACGAATGTTAACATAACAGAATCAAATTAAGGACAAAAGAGCATATTATTACCCTACCGAAGGAAGCATTACACATTTAAAAAATAAGATCATGAGCTTAAATGGGGGAGGGGGCCGAAGGCAGATCCATAACATTTTTGCTTCAATGTTTCTTAAGCCCATATCCATAGGAGCTTGATGTGGTACAAAAGAAGATAATGACTAATGAGACCCACCCGTATAACCACTTTTAGCTCGCGCCAGAAATTATTAATATTCGGTTGCCGAAAAAAAGTATACAATTTGTATAATTTTTGTATATAACAAACAGAATGAGTATATATACAATAAATATACATCATTTCGGCTATTATTTTGATAACGGCTATACAATGTTATTTTTCCGCTAACAAACCCCAATTTCGCCTCTTTAAATTTTTCCCTTCCTTCTCTTCCTTTTCTTTTTGTGTATTATTCTATATAGGACCTTCCGTATAATACTCCCCTCTATTGCAATTTTTATCAACTCCTTTAACTTTGAGACGTTTCAAAATATTTGACCCATTCCCTTTCTGTATATAAACCAAGATTTTCAGAGGAAGAGATAGGGTATTAATATATCTAATATATAGTTATGTAAACAATTGTCCGTTGAAAAGGACATGTCGAATGAATTGATCATAAGTTATGAAAATTTCCATGAATCAAAATCATTAAACCATCCAAATTTTAAATTTTAATGTGATTTTTCCCCTATCAAATATCGTCACCGTCGTGTAAAATGAAATGGAGGTAGCACAAAATGTTAGGACCGAAATAATTAGGTTCATGTGGAAGCTAACAAAACAAACCTTCAACGATGATAAATCAGACAACAAAAGAGAAATATACTAAAAGAGACACAAACATTTAACGTGGTTCGTTCAATCGACATACGTCCATGGCGGAGATGATCAATCACTATATAAAAAGAGAATACAAAATATGGAGAGAACAACCTCACGAAGAGGCAAACACAAGTGATTCACTAACAGTTGTCCCGTAAAGTTCTCCCCATAAACACGACTCTCAAACCCCATATGGCTAAATTGTGGATGCTACTGAATGAGAAGGAAGGATCCTCAATTTATAGAAGTCCAAACCTTTTCCTACAAAAAAATGACTAGCCAAATGTGGAAGAATTATAATTTTCTTCTACAAAAAGGAAAATCCAAATATGTGCTTAGCCCTCTTATGATGTCTAACATCTATGTGCTTAGTCCTCTTATGATGAACTGGGTTCTTTGTCATACTTATAGCACTAGTGTTATCACAAAAGATAGGGATGCAACCAACTTCAATGCCAAAATCTATCATCTGCTGTTTGATCTACAGCAGTTGAGCACAACAAGAGGCAGCAGCAACATATTCAGCCTCAGCAGTGGATAAGGCCACTGAATGTTGCTTTTTAGTAGCCCATGATACCAGACATGAACCAAGAAAATTAGCCATACCCGAGGTGCTTTTCCTATCCACGAGGAAAACTGCATAGTCAGCATCAGCATATCCTACTAGATTAAAGTTACTACCTTTAGGGTACCAAAGACAAAGATCAGTAGTGTCTTTCAAATATCTCAGTATCCTCTTGACAGCAGTCAAGTGGGATTCCTTAGGATTTGCCTGAAAACGAGCACAGAGCCCTACATTGAAAACTATGTCAGGTAAGATATAAAAGTGAGCCAATCATACCCCTATACAACTTCTGATCAACAGATGAACCAGGTTCATCTATGTCTAATGTAGTGGTTGTTTCAATGGGTGAGTCTATTTCTTTTGATTCATCCATTTTAAACTTCTTAATCAACTCTTTTGCATATTTCTGCTGATGGATCAATGGTTCCATTTGGGTTTTGTTTGAACTGTAAGCCTAAGAAAAAGTTAAGCTCACCCATTGGGTTTTGTTTGAACTGTAAGCCTAAGAAAATGTTAAGCTCACCCATCATACTCATTTCAAATTCACTCCCCATTAATTTTGCAAATTCCTTACTCAGTTTTTCAGTGGTTGCCCCAAAAATTATGTCATCAACATATATTTGTACTACTAGTAGATCCTTACCTTTTTCCCTCAAGAATAAAGTACTGTCAATCTTACCTCTTTGGTATCCATGTTCAACCAGGAATTTGGATAGACGTTCATACCATGCTCTAGGAGCCTGCTTGAGTCCATATAGGGCCTTGTCCAATTTGTATACATGATCTGGAAACTCCTTACTTTCAAATCATGGAGGTTGTTTGACAAAGACTTCTTCCTTTAAGTAGCCATTGAGGAAGACACTCTTCACATCCATTTGGTGAAGGATAAATTCCATGTGTGCTACAAAGTCTATGAGGAGTCTTATTGTCTCCAGTCTTGCTACTGGAGCAAAGGTCTCATCATAATCTATGCCCTCCTCTTGGCTATAACCTTGGACCACCAGCCTTGCCTTATTCCTTGTAACTGTTCCATCTTCATCAAGTTTGTTTCTGAAGACCCATTTAGTGCCAATCACTGACCTGTCCTTGGGTCTTGTGACCAGATGCCACACTTGGCTTCTTTCAAATTGATTGAGTTCATCTTGTATTGCATTCACCCAATCTGCATCCTGCAAAGCTTCAGCAACATTTTTAGGTTCAATAAGAGATAAGAATGCATCAAAAGCACACAGATTCTTTAATTGAGATCTGGTTTTAACTCCAGAAGTTGGATCAATAAGGATGTTCTCAATGGGATGAGAACTTTGATACTTGTAAGGTTTCACAACCAACTTATTTCTGTTTGGAGTTTCTCCCATGTTTTGTTGCTGAGGAACAGGCTCATGGATAGGTTCCATTTGGGAGTTAGATTCATTTCTTCTTTGTTCAGTTCCCCCTGTCAGGTTGCCCCGGATGGAAGAACCTGTTCCATCACCTGTTCCTTCTTTTGGTGCATCTTTAGCATGAGTTGTGACTTCACTCAATTCTTTTACCAGCCCAATAGCTTCATCTTCATGTTCCTGTCTCTCAGAAAGAATGTTAGTTTCATCAAAAACGACATGTACACTTTCTTCTACAAACAAAGTTCTTTTGTTTTACACTTTATAAGCTTTGTTATGTGAAGAATATCCCAAGAATACTCCCTCATCACTTCTGGGATCAAACTTACCTAGGGAGTCTTTTCCATTATTGTGCACAAAGCACTTGCATCCAAATGCCCTAAGATGGGATATATTTGGTTTTCTCCCTTTAAGTAACTCATAGGGAGTTTTCTCTACAAGAGGTCTAGTCATGCACCTATTAATAATGTAACATGCAGTATTTACAGCCTCAGCCCAGAAGCTATGGGGCACTTTACTAGAAAGAAGCATAGTCC